GTATAAACAACAATACATGTTACACAATAATACATGTTACACAACAATACACGGTACACAATACATGGTACGTAGCAATACATGATACACAACAACACATTGTACACAACGATACATTGTACACAACAATACATGGTACACAACAACACATTGTATAAACAACAATACATGTTACACAATAATACATGTTACACAACAATACATGGTACCCAATACATGGTACACCACAATGCATGGTACACAACAACACATTGTATAAAGAACAATACATGTTACACAACAATACATGGTACACAATACATGGTACACAATACTTGGTACACAACAATACGTTGTACACAATACATGGTACACAACAATACATTGTACGCAACAACACATTGTATACAACAATACTTTGTTGTGTTACACAAAAGAAACGTACCTTCCAATCACCACCCAGCTGTTGCCATGCTCGATTGCGTCATTTGTGATAGCTCCATTTGGCTTTATGAATCCTACAAACGGATGTAGTGTATTGTCGACATACTTAGGACCAAGCATTCCACACTGTTTCTCAACAAGGACTGAGTTGTCTTTGATTTCAAAACGTATTTCATTGCGTTTAGTTTGTTCGTTCTTGATCCATAAAATCCACCATTTTGCAGTTACTGAAAAAATCAGCCTCATGTATTCACTAATGACCTGAATTTCAATATTTCCATCACTAGTCACGAACGTAGTACCAGAAACCAAAACTCCGCCAACCTGTGTGAACATATTACATGAATTTGTTTAAACATTTGCATTCACATTCTATTTGAAGTAACGAATCCATATACTCACATCATAGGCTCATAATCAGAGTTTGGTTGATGGTTCGCTTTTAGAATATATATATCATGAGGTTGACTATTCCGTTGACTGATTTACAATAACTATAAACTTATTCGTCATATCAGAATTGTAATCTCACCACTTGATTAACATGACTCTTCCTAAATATTATCAGGTTACTAGTTAATCTTTATATCAACCAGACAAACATGCTAGTTGCAATATGTTAGTACTAAAGACAATTCTATTGTATGAATGCAATCGTTCTAGTAATGTAATATTAATAGTCATTCTGTGATAGGTATTTTTGATGGTTAAAAACCTTTCACTTAGGTAACCGGGGTTCGGTCGTTTCCACGCTAGGCTAACAAAAGACACACACAAGCTTCGTTCATGTTCCCAAAACGATTCTCTGCCCAGTCCCGGGTTTTCACCCGAGACAGCATTAAATCCATCTTTATTTCTTGTCACTCCTTAACCAATTACAATCAGTATAAGAGACTCCAAGGCCTTGCCTTCCAACAAACAACCAATCACATGAAAGTTTTACACATCATAATCAATTAATTACTCGTCAAGCTGTCTAGAGAAAACATTTCTATACATTGTCAACACTAACTAATATTGATGGGGTAATAATCTCGCACTAACATTCCACCAAGATACTACCTTTTTTAAACTCGCAAACAACATTGGTTTAGAATTACAGCTACTGTCTTGTATCTTAAAAACTGCAGAGTCATAAGATGTTTTTGGTTGATTTCGACCAGCTCGCCATCTGGTCTTGTCATTAACCTTTATCAGTATATGTCATGACAACCACTGTCAAACTGACTGAAATATAAATCATGATAATTCAACCAAATTTGATCATTCGCCCTTTCCTGGGATCACAAGCAAAGAAGTGGTAGAAATGTTTAACTTCAAGATATTTATATCTTGAAATGGCCGATGCCTTTCATTTACCCATTAGGGGATTGTGTGAACAAAGTGTGCACGTAATTATTCTAGGAATGTCGAATAAAATATAGTAGCAGCAAACAAAGTGGCTTGAATTGACAGTGAATTTGAATCAGACTCTCGACATCAACGGAATGAAATCTAAACATGAATGACACCGTAAAATAAAAGGAATTTAAAGAAAACACCAATCCAAACAACATAATGACCCCCAAAGAAAAAGCTCCACAAATGTAGAAGAATGCAATTTACATACCTGTATGGACCCATCATCTAA